GTGAGAAGAAACCTCCTATCTGAAAAGCGCCTCATATATATGACCTGTGCACACTGTACTCCCGGAGGTTCCATGAGGTACCAAACGTACTGGAGGAAGGCATCAGGTTACCTAGAACTAATACACCCCTTAAGCTTATATCCTGACTCAGCTTACGATATTAGAGTAACGGGCGCCTGCGGGCAGAGAAATTACTATCTTATTGCGCCCCCGGAGTATGTGTCGATACTAGAAGGAAGACCGAACCATGATGATCGTGTCTTGTTTCGGTGCATGCATTGCGGGTACTTACAGCCTTGTGCAGACTCAGTTGCCGAACTTTGTATGACTCGAGAGAGGCTCGATCGAGGGCAGATTTGGAGGCTCCAAGAGGTAAAGTGGAACTGATCTAAGGCTGTGAAGTACACGTACATACTTGACTTCTGAGTACATCCGTGGAATGGAATGATTCCTCTACGCCCATGATGATAGACTAAGTGAATAGATAAGTTACAGCCTCATAAAACAACAAAGAACCCGCATATCTTAGGATAGTGTACGATTAATTGGCCTTTGAGAAGAAAAAATATCCCCACCTCCTAAATGCGCTGACAACGCATATGCACCTTCATGAAATATCACTCGACCATTCAAATACTCTAGAGTACCCCTCCTTTGCAACCCAACTAACCGTGCGTGCACGTGATTTCTGCACTTGCACTTTTTTTTTTTCCCCGCAATTACTCCAGAGCGCACCGGGCCTTTTGGACATTCGAGAACACAGCCCCCGCACCTTTCCAGTTGTGCTTGAGATTGTTATCTAGTGGAGACCGATTGACGAAGATGATAGGGTTTATCTTAAGAAAGTACACATGTATACATGTAGTTATTCGTAAGCTACGCCACTACTTAACCGCGGGCTCATATACGGTCTGCTATAGAGCGGGGCGGGGGATATAGATAGCGATCCCAATACTGGGTAAAAAAGATAACTACTCCCAGCGGGGTTTTTCAATAAACCCACAACCAACCAAACCCCAACACGAGTGATCACCCATGAAAAACTCTGCCGTATGCTAATCATTATTGGCCGCCAAGACATGTGCCTCGACCTTCCCACCCCATCAAGAGTACCTGTGGATGTGTGAGCAATTACACACATGTTTTGTTTTTGTGTTTCTCGGGTCGCGATGCGCCCGCGGGCGGGCGGACGGGGGAGGGAGATCCTGGTGTAAACATTCCTGGAACTGCCGCGCGCGCGCATGGGATTTACAGGACTCGTTTCTTCTTTCCTTTTCCTACTAGGTGAGTTTTGTGCTAAATCTACACCGGGTTGCGGCGCTCTAGCGAACGAAACGAAGCGTGAATCGCGGATGCCATTCTGTACCTACATCGTTCATATCGATCGCAGAGTATTTAGAGTACGGAGACAAATCCGACTGTCGGGCCCAGATTCCGTACGTACCCTAAGAAGTACATGTAGGTAGAGGGGTAGATAGGTATTGTATCCTCCTCCCCCTTCAGATTAATCTATAACACGGGTTTCATGGGCGATCGGTTGTGCAGGGGTTTGCTTCCGACCGAGGATGTGGTACATTTACATGTAGTAGAGGGTCAAGAAATTCAAGTGTTTTTTTCTGGCGGGAGATCGTGGATCTCTAGGTGTGAATTGGCGACGGTGGGCGGAGGGAGGAAGTGGTGTGATATGAATGATGGAATAATGGTAAGCAAGTAAGGGAAGGGATTGAGCACGGGCCTGACGAGGATTGTCAGTCAACCGCGGCGTTTACTTGCTACATGTGCACAGTGCGATGGATTGTATTAAAGCACGAATGTTTAATTCTGGGTAGAAAGATGATAGATATGCCCTCTATTAATCGCTTCGTGGGCCAATGTGAGTACTAGATAGCAGTATCAGGGCCAACTGTAGCGATACGGTACACGATAGACAAGAGGTCAAGGCCACAATCAAGACACCCGCCTAAGAGATACCGGTTCCCGAGTTGCGGGGGAGGGGAAGGATAGAGAAAATAAATGGTTTAACTACAGAAAGTAGGTACAAAACACCCTCAGATGCTGCAATCCGTTAGAATGGTTTTGGCGGAGGTAAGCTGAAACACTGCTGCACCCGGGCCTACATCATACAGAAAGGAGAGCTTTCTCCCACTGGCTGGCTACTCTCTTCCCATGGTAGAGAGCTGACAAACATGCAATTGGGTTTTGTCTAAATATGGGAAAGGAAGAAAGGAAGGAAGGGGTTCACCGCACAGCATGACGCGAGGGGAGGAGGACGATGACAGAGGAATAAGCTTGTGTGCAGCCACAGAAACGTTAAGTGTGTGTACCTACATGTATGATGTAGGGTATCTCTTGTACCTGACTTGACCTCTCTTCTTCGCAGCGGGAGATGTCGTGCGTGTGTGACATCGCATAGACGATCGAAATCAAGGCACCGTATACATGACGCTTGCGCCATAACGGATTAGGCCCAACCCCAGATTGATTGCTGAACCCTTGCGCGGCTTAAGGATCTGGGGGAAAGGGGAGAGATGAGATGGGGGCAGAGGGAGGGGAGGGGAGAGAGGGTGTTTGGCTTTTTCCGTCGACGTGCAATTTAACGTATATTGGTCAGTTGGGGCAGGACCCAGTCGGATATCGGGATGCGAGTCCTTGCTTAGGCGTGGAAGTGCATTTTGTCTCGAGCTGAGCTGATTGATAGGTTTACATATGTGGAAATAAATAAATGGCAATTGGCAACGGGGGCGCGCCACGGGGGTTCAATCCAGCAGGTATGAGTTTTCTTGCCCTAGATGCCTAGATGGAGTAGAGCCTACACAATTGTAGGAAGCTATGATGCGTGCAGAATTGCATCTGGAGGGGGGTAAAGTATGTGGATGTTCTGATAGGGCGGGCCACAACCGCTACCCAAGATAACTTAATCCTGCCCTCTTTTAACCGGAAATAAGCTATTTTACTTGACAGCCTCTCAGAAGCGTTCTAACGATGGCAAGCGAGTTGTCAACAGCTGCGCGCGGGGAGCCAGTGAGGAAACTGGATGAATCCCATGAGGTGTTTACCAGCAGCAGCAGAGAGATCTAGAGCGAGCGCGCCTTCTGTCGTATTACACTGCCTGCACGAACGGTTCTGTCACTGTGTGTGTATGTTGGTTGGTTGCTGTGTCAACGATCGAGGGATGCGCTAGTTTAACAACCTTGATGTCAGACCCTTTTGATCCCTTGTTCTCGCACCCTGCCTAGCCACACTTAAATCCTGAAGGCTTTTAATATAATACTGCGTGTATTCCCCAAGTATCGATGCAATCAATTGCTGTTTTACCGCCGATGATTCTCGAGACAATATGTATGATGATGCCGAAATGTGGCAGAAAAGGACTTGAAGGAATGAACGAGTGACTGCATGCGTGACATGTACGTACAACGTAGGTAAAATGTATCAGTGAGGGTGGTACTGTAGATCATCATCATGTTCCCCGGGAGGCCTACAGTACTTGTACCGAAACAGTGGAGTGACCGGCTCCCTCATCCCATGTCCTTCTTTCCTTTAACCAAAGGCAGCAGGCAACACCGCAGGGACAATTGCGATAAACAAAACCTCCGATAGATCTTTTCTCTCTCTCTTTCGCTTTCTGATTCTTCTACATCCTCTCCAAAAGTTGAAGGGCTGAGAGCACGCATTGCCAGCTAGCTAGCTAGAGTACCATCCGTAATAATACATCCTGCTACATTGATAGTATTGTATCACTCACCCGCTCACTTACTCCATTGAATTCCTCATTATCATACCCTCAGTTATCCCCCTCTCGTCCTGCTGCGCGCGTTGTCGGCCCACCCTTCATCCTTTCTTTCTCACGCACTCACTCTGCTGCATTCATTCACTCAATTCAAGCATATTCCCCCCCTCCATCGAAGGTCTATCCGCCACGAGACGATATTGTACAACGACGAAACAGTTGGCCGGGGGCCCCGTTCTGCTTGCCAGTGCTGCCTGCCTGCCTGCCCTTGATACAATACATTACACACTACTATCGCTCGCTACTATACACTCGTTTGGCACACATTTGCACACCATCCCGTCCCCCCCGTCCCTTTTCTTTCTTGCAGTGTCTCTCCTCTCTCTCCTACTTTACTTCTACAACCCAACAACCCACACACAACACTTTTTTCGCGAACAGCTGCAACAATTCTATTTCATCCATCCATCGATCTGATCTGTTGCGTTGCGTGGAGGAAAGGATAACAATCTCGCAGATACAATGTCCCAATTCGGAAACTTTCATGTAAGTTTATTATTTCTATTTGATCGTACGTTGTATTTTAGGAAACCATTTTCCTATTTGTCCTGGTCGAGAGGAATTTGGTGGTTAGCTTCTGGTTGCTGGTTGCTGGTCTGAATCACGAACGACGAGGAGGGATCGGCCTGGACGCGCAACAACAACGCAAGGCACACACTCCTGAAGAGAAAGCAAGAAAGAATCGAAACCTGTTCAACTCCACGAACCCCGGGAATGAAACGAATGCTAACTGGTGGGGCTATGCATAGGACTTTTGTCGCGATTCGACATTGCCAGTATGCAACGTACGTTCTTCCTCTTTTAGATGTCCATACCTACCTGCCTACCTACCTGCCTATCCTCCCGCCGTACCTACATCCTATCTCTAGCCGAGTTTATGTGTGTGTTTGCATGTGTGCTCGGCCGGTTCAATCGCTCGTTCGCTCGGTTCGGTTCAGTTCGGTCGGTCTAACATCAATGATAGCTTTTCAGGAATGGCACGGATCCGATGGTGGAGAAGCGGTGTCAATTGGTTGGAATCGCGGTCAACAACAGTGATAACTATATAAGGAATTTGGGTGCGTCTATTTTGTTAACAAGTTTATTTGGCTATGGGCGCTTGCGTCTAAGCGTGCCGCCTAATATTAGACCACTGGCTCGGGGCTAACTGTTTGTAGGTTCAATTGTACTAGCTGCGCTCGCGGTGTGTAGTTCAATAGGGTTGATACTCATGTCTGAAAGGAAAAAGGCCGCAGTCGGACGAAGGTACTACTACTACTGATCACAAGCTTATCCCGCATGCAACTAATCACGATATGCAAATTACAGGGAAATCCAGATATTCCTCATTGGCTACATCCTCATGTCAATCACCGAGATATTCTCCGTCGGCGGCTTCCTCACAAACCAGACCATTCTCGTCTGGTTCTCGGCCCTCCATATTGGCGCCATAACAGCAACCGCATGGGTACTGATGCTTAACGCCGTTGTTGGCTACCAGCTCCTGGACGACGGGACACCTCTCTCGCTTGGACTGGTGGGGACGTCGTTTTTAGCCTTCTTTGTTGGCACGACGTATGTTGCCGTGGATACGGGGTTCAACTACACAGGCACCTTCACAAAGGACTCGGACAGCATTAGGAACTATGCGCTATATGTACTGTATCTGCTGTTCCCGCTTATCATGATTGCGGCATATGTCATCCTGGAATCTGTGCTGGTGATCAAAGTGCTGGGAGAAAAGATACCAATGAGTAAGTATCAATTTGTCGGTTTTGGATGTTAGAGCTAGAATTAGGGATTGCGGGTGTTGATAAGTGGGAAAAATAGGACGTCTCAGTGCTGCAGCACTCTCATTCGCCGTCGGCCAGGTCTTCAACTTCGTCATCAGCGTACATCTCTGCGAAGCAACGAACGGAAAGATTGACGGCGCCCTTTTCGAGACTGGGTTTACACTGATCGCGGTGATCTTTTTGTGGTATTTCTGGAGCAGCATCACGGAGGACGAGTGGCCGGAGGACACAATGCGGCCAATGAGTGAAGCGTACCCTTGAAAACACACACTGCTGTTGCTAGAGGGGAGGGTGGATGATATATATCCCTTTTTTCCTGTTTTTCTGTTTATCGTTTTTTTCCCCTTTTTTTCGAAAGCTAATGTGGCCACATGTATAATTTTTTTTCTTTTTTTACGGGTGGTTTGGTTTGGTTTGGTTTGTTTTTTGTTGGTATGTATTTTTCGGCGATATTTATGGTTTTCTCTTTTTTACTATATCCCACTTCTTTTTCTCCCAATTCTTCTTTTCTTCTCTTTCCAGGCCCTGCCACTGTTCGAAGAAACTTGGAAAACAATCCGGAAAATCATAACTCTTTCACTCACCCCCAACCCCGTCACCACCCCGCGTCAATGGTTATTTGTCAGTCGTTTTTTTTTATCTTATCGTTACATATCTTTGTGTGTATGGTTTTTTACGAACTTTTATAATGCTTAGGGAACATGGTGATGGGGCGGAGGGCTAAATGGAAACGCCATTCTTTTTTTTTTTTTACGAGAATAATGGGATGGCTGGCTTTGGGTTGGGTTTGGGTGGCTTTTTTCTTTTTTTCTTTTTTTTCCTTTTCTTTCTCTTCTTCTCTCGAGGTAGTTTTTAGTTAGTGGCTGGCCGTGGTGTGTACTTGTTCTAGCTTGAGCGGGTTTTTTTTTTTCTTCTCTGTATTTGCGATACCCCTGGTTTTGCTACGGATCAGTCTGAGAGGTGGGGGGAGGGAAAAGAAGGAACTACCGGGCTGGTGGGAGCTGTGGGATGTTAAAGAAGCATTGCAACTCCTACGATACCACAGCACAGATATCCAGCACGCGCGAACAAACAAACGGGAGCACATCACACAACAATGGGCTTGATGAGACGGTGTATATGTTATTTGGATAGCACGGGCTGAGCTTCAGGAGGAGGGATATGAGGAATGCACAGGCCTAGAAACACTTTTTCTAGGCTGCACAGATCTTAAGCATTGGTACTCTAGTTCTAGCAGTAGGCGGGCATGTTAGCAAGCGACAGCCTGGGTGGCTGGCTGGCTGTAATCATGTAGGGCAGGCATATCATTCCCCGCACAGACAGACGGGCAGGAAGAGCGCGGAGGATAACTTAACAAACAAAACCAATTTAAAAAAAACATTCTTAAAACATTGAATTTCGACTCCCCCCCCCCTTTTCCTATTATCTACTCTATGCTCCAGCTACCCGATATCTAAAAAGAGAAAAGGAGAAGAAAAAAAGTAATGTCCAACCCGTATCTGTGCTTCAACACAAGTCTCTGCGTAGCAGCTCTTCAGCAGGCCCGTCACCCCCACCAGGGAGGGGGATCTAATTATTGCGGCCCTTTTCTCCTTTGCCCTCCCCTCCTTGAATCCTACTCTCCCCTTTTCCTTTTCCCCGCCTTTTCCCTTGACACAGTGCCAGAAAAGAGTGAAGAAACCGGGTGTCGGTTTCTTTCACTTCCTCCGATAGCTGTGCGTCGGGGGGTGGGGCGGGTGGAGGTAGGGGGAGGTAGGAGGGGGGGAGGAAGGAGGGGTGAAGCCCGCTCCCGTCACCGTGGGGGTGTCGGGGTGAGGGAGGGGATCTGTGGGCCGCTTATTTGTGTATGGGGGAGGAGTGAGGTGAGTGTAGATATAGAGGAGCTCGGTATACATAAGGGAAGCTCGAGAGAGGAGATGGGACATCTAAGAGCCGAGGTAACTAGCTTGGAAAAGAAAAAAAAAAGAAAAGTGGAAATGATCGATTGGAAGGTTTTTTTTATTATCGGGATATAATGATCAGAAATAGGAGTTTCTCTAAAAACTAGATACGCAAATTCGCCAGTTTTTCAGCATTCGTTCATTGATTCGGCCAACAGCCATGCATATTATAATTGCGAGTTGTAATTTTCACAGTAATTCTCGCGTGCTTGTTGGGGTGAAAGGCGTATATCAAGCTGCTGTACTTCTCACCCAAGTCCCAAGTGCTGGATCCTGCGTCTTCACTGTACTGTACTAAATTCGGATAGGATCTCCGAGGCACCTGTGAAAAAAGAGTATCCAATTGATTTTTGGGGGGGGACTTTAGGAAAAAAAAATCTCTCAATTTCTTATTATTTGTGAGATTTCCCGAAAAACTCCTTTATGCTTTTTTATTTTTGTTAAACACAAATGCCTGACCCGCATAGCCCCAGCGAAAAGAAAGAAAGAAACCCTATAGCACACCCACATTTTCGTCAGCATTTCGTTCTAGAAACTCCACAATTTTCCAGTTCCCAATTGGCTCCGTTTCGTCTCTATCCCATCTTTTCCCTCTCCAGCCCCAAAGCCCCTCTCCACTGCCCCCCCCCCCCCAAAAAAAAAAACCCCCCAAAAGCAGCTAGAAAGACCACACAAACCTCTAGTGCTGGCGCGCCGGCCGACCAAACGTTCTTCAACAGACCATCCCTCTGGGCCAGCCTGTTGAGCGAGTCGTCGCTCTCGCCCATGGATCGGACGAAGCCGCACAGGGCGTAGGTGATGTTCTCGCCGGTGTAGCGGCCGGTCTCGTCGACCTTGCCGACGGAGATCTGCACTGAGGCGTGGTCCTTGGCCTTGATGATGCGGTTGGTGGCGCTGCACTTGCGGGGACGTAGCTACGGTGCGTGCTGGGTTAGTATGCGTAGTGGAAGGGTGCGTGCTTGGGAGCGGAGGGGGGGGTGGTACAGGTCGACGAGTTCTCCTAATGGGGGGGTTAGCTAGCTGTCTATATAGATATTTATGGGAGTAGTCGGGAATCTCGGACTCCGAGATTCGAGATTCAAAGGGGGGGGGGGGGGGGGGGGGGTGCGCAACCCTTATCGTTTTCCATTTTTGGCGATTTTGGTGGTGTTTTTAACGGTGAAAAAAAACGGACTATCGTAGACGACAATTAACTCGGGGAACCGTAGGTATCTTTGGGGGCAGCGAACTTGGACTTACAGTTGATATCGGCGGTGCTGGTGTGCTAGGGTGCGGTCGGTGGTGGTGATAATTTCCGCGTGTATCGATGGGGGTTGGTTGCTTGTTCGGTCGTGGGTGGTTGTGGAGACTAGGGCTTGGGCTGCGTGGGACTGCTTTTGCGCGTGACTAAGCCGGTGCTGGGGAGAAAACGTTTTCCGGGGGAGGGACCCAAGCCTTGCGCCATAACCAACTCGGCCATCTTGCCTTGGCGTTTGAGGATTGCTGACAGAGGTGGGGGTGGGTGGGCTGTAAGGCTGGTGTCGAGGTTCCGAAGGGCTGTGTAACTTGAGTATGTGAATCTCAAGGAAACACCCACTCAAATGTTCATATCCGCCTCGTAATATCCGCGCCCACGACCGCCTCATGTTGCTATATGTATATATCCGCCAGCTACTATAGCTACTACAACACCTTATCCTTTGGTTCGTCTTGTTTGTCTTGTCTTACCAGCACAACATCTGTATCAGGTCAGTATTGTGGCGCCCGAGTGGTACCGAAAGGAGGATGATGGTCATGCCTCTACTTGTATATGGCGGTTTTACAAGAGACTGAGGGGGATCGAATTGTATGATTGAACGATAACAGAAGGAACAGTCTCCTTTTATAGCAAACAAAGACATGATAAATACGCAGGGTACATATCATCAAGACAACCAAACCCGTTGTCTTGACACAGTACTAATATACTGATGTCCTTGATCTGCCATGCCGTTCTCTATCTGTTCGATACATGTAGTTGCACAGGATGCAGGCCCGTGTTTGGTAAAGTTTGCCTGCCAGTGAGCACACACGTGCTACACGACACGGGCACAGCACACCGATCGATCTGCAGTGAGAGTTGTGTGTAAAGCTTAAATACGGCACTTTGATGCCTACGATGCTGTGCACGGTGTACAGACAGACACAGAGAGTACAGACAGTAGTACATTACACTAGCCAACCATCCTTGGCGCACAAATACCATTTCTAGCCACCAACACACATGGGCGAGTGGTTCAACGGTTAACCCTCGCCAAAGAACACCGCGAGGTTTAGCCCTGCTTTCGATCACAGAAGGCCAGGGTTCGACCCAGGGGTGGGAGTAGTGCCAGTTCATCCCGGAACCGCACAGTACTTTTTGTTCTTTTTTGTGTATGAAAGAAGAGATACTATAAGACCACCCAAAACATACCGCTTGGGGTCTTTTTTTATTTGATAATAGTGCGCAATACCCCCAGTATAAATTTGACATTCCGTGGCATTTGGGGTGGCATTTTGGGTGAGCCCGTTGCCACGCCCGTTGCCACGCAGAGGTCAGGGGTAGGTTCCGCTCTTGGCCAATCAGAGGGCGAGTAGGTTCGCAGCATTAAGGGCAGTACATATTAGATACATGTAGTTGAAAAGTCTCCGTCTTTCTTACTCCGTGTGCAGCTGTGAGCTCTCATGACATCGATTTGTACTAGAAATACATGCTGCAATCCTAATATTCCTTCGAGATTCACCTCGTTACTGTTTATTCCTGTATGTAGTTCGCCTGTTATGCTATATTTTCAATACCCGACACACCCTCTGCAATGCTCCCAGTACCCACTCGCCATCCGTCCCTGCCACAATTGATCAACAGCTACACGTAGAGCTGCACCACCACCAATTACCACCGCAACCGCACACGCACCGCACCACACCGCCACACCCCACACCAAACCCAACCCACTCCACCGCCGCTGCTGCTGACTAACGCACACCACCCCAAAGCTCCCCCGGCGCGCCCGCACCCGCACCCGCACCCCCGAACCCCAAAGACAGACCCATCCAGCCATGGCCGACTCCGACGAGGACTACGTGAACTCCTCCGTTGATGAGGCGGTGCCCACACCGTCAGCCGCCGCGGCGCCGGCGGCCACAAAGGCGCGCGCCCGCCCGTCCAAAGCCCAAGAAGGTGCAGAAGAAGGAGGCGTGGGAGGACATCAAGCGGTCGTGGGACAATGTTGTCGAGGGCGCCGACGGCAGCATCAACGTCACGGGCCTGCTTGAAGCCGGGAAGCGCAAGAGGTACTTTTTTTTACACCCGGAGCGAGCAGAGGGCAGAGAGAGCAGAGAGGGGAGCAGAGTAGAGCAGAGAGGTGCAGAGAGTAGAGCTGAGAGCTGAGAGCTGACTGAGTGGCGGACATACAGGCTGCTCAAAGACACGACACCCGCTGCAGCGCGGCATCATCAGACATGTCATGCTTATCCTCGACCTGTCCATCGCCATGGCCGAGAAGGACTTCCGCCCCACGCGCTACCTCCTCGCGATCCGCTACGCGTGCGACTACGTGCGCGAGTACTTTGAGCAGAACCCGATCTCGCAGCTGGCCGTGCTGGGCATGCGCGACGGCCTCGCCGTGCGCGTCAGCGACATGTCCGGCAACCCGACAGACCACATCGAGGCCATCCAGAAGCTGCGCCTGGACGACCCCAGGGCTCCCCGAGTCTGCAGAACGCACTCGAGATGTCGAGAGCTGCGCTGTTGTAAGGCCGCCCCCCCCCCCCCCGCTGCTCTAGGTAGGTAGCGGAATACTGATACTGATACTCCCCGGCGCCGCGGTATAGTAATGCCCCGACGCACGGCACCCGCGAAGTAGTGATCGTCTTCGGCGCGCTGCACTCCTCAGACCCCGGCGACATCCACCAGACAATCGCACACCTCGTCGCCGACAAGATCCGCGTCAGCGTCGTCGGGCTCTCCGCCCAGGTCGCCGTCTGCCGCGACCGACTCGTGTCCAAGACCAACGCCGGCTCCACAAGCACCTACGGCGTCGCCCTAGACGACAAGCACTTCCGCGAGCTGCTCATCGACACCACGATCCCGCCCGTCACCCCTCCTCCAAGCAGTCGTCGGCCTGCCTGCTCATGTGGGGCTTCCCCTCGCGCGTCGTCGAGACCACGGCGTCGCTGTGCGCGTGCCACTCGCGCCTCGCGCGCGGCGGCTACCTGTGCTCGCGCTGCTCGACAAAGGTGTGCGAGCTGCCGATGGAGTGCCCCGCGTGCGGGCTGATGCTGGTGCTGTCGACGCACCTGGCGCGCCACTACCACCACCTGTTCCCGCTGCGCAACTGGGTCGAGGTGCCGTGGGGCGAGGCGGGCGAGGCCGCGGCGTGCCTGGCGTGTCAGGTGGCGTTTCCGCCCGTGCCCGAGAGGGCGGCGAGGAGTGGGCGCTGCCGGCGAGGACGGAGAGGGGCACGAGCGTGAGTAGTCGCTATCGGTGCAAGGAGGGGGTGTTTTGTATTGATTGTGATGTGTTTTGTCATGAGACTTTGTATAATTGCCGGCTGGGCTGCAGTCGAGGGAGAGGGTGAGTGGGGGTGCGGGGAAGAGGCGCCGAATGGGGTGCCGGCGGCGGATACGATGGAGATTGATGGGTAGTTGGTGATAATTCAGCTGATCTTCTTTTTTCTGTTTCTCTTTGTTTTTTTCTTTTTTTTTCTTTCCATTTCCATTTCCTTTCCTTTCCCTTTTCCTTTTCCTTTTCCTTTTCCTTTCCTTTTCCTTTTCTTTTCTTTCTTTGGCTTCCCTTTAATTCTCTCGTTTTGCCGGCTTCATATACACGTGTATCATAAAGGAACAGGTACGGAGTTTTGCTGCTTTTTGCTCTCGAAATAAAGATTGCTGCTGTCATTGCTGTTTCCATCGCTGGCCTGGAGTATAATAACGGGAGTGCTGGATGCTGATGCTGGATGCATGGGATATCACTCGGTCAAGCCAAGGCTCAATGTGCTTGGCAACGGGCATTTTATCTCAACATCCAAATCACTCCCATGCATGCAACAAAGTACAGAAGCCCATAAGCCTATCCGGGCTATCCCCAAGAAGATAAATACCCCTCTGGAGCGAACAGCATGCACGCAGATATGGCCATCAAGCAGGGAGGATCCAGCTAGGCTCAGGCGAGTGTCTTCGTGGGAAAGTGCTATGATACATAGTGGGGTTTCACCTTTACACTGCACATAGCTTATCTCTATTTCTCCTAGAGCCACAGAGCGCAGCCCCCCTAAAATCAAAAGTCTAAGCCCCAAAAACCAAACCCCCCAAAAACCAAACACCAAAACCCAAAAGATACGGAAGCACAGAAGCAAATAGATAACAGAGGCCATACGTACCCGCAGATAAGAAAGAAGCTATGAAGAGCTCAAACCCAAAGCCAAGACGAGTGTCGAAGACGAAGAGTAGGGAAGATGGGGTAGAGGATGGCCGGTATGTGGTTT